ATATTATATTATATTATATTATATTACATTACATTACATTACATTACATTATATTATATTTCAATCATATCATATCTTCTTTTTATTAGAAATTACATAAATACTTTGGCCAGGTAGGTCTTCTCTATGACCAATGAGTTCTCCTGACAGAATTTACATACAAGGAACAAAGAAGATAAAGGCTGCCACACAGTTTTACAATAAGAACTCAAGCAATGATTAAAAACTTTCAGGCATATCATATTTTTCATCTGATCAAAAATAGTCATTCCAAGAAAAGTTTCCGCCACTGAAATATGCATCTTCTTAATGGTGACAGTAATAAAATTTAGCATTTTTACAGAGCATTTCATATGCTTAAGTAGGTGGATTTTTTGCCAAAGCAAGAAAACCTGCTAGTACTTCATGCCTAAAATGAAATGTGAATCAGGAGTTTAGCCATTATAAAGCATTATATCAATACACTGTTGATAATTTTAGTTCACCAAAAGCATGTGAACTATATTAAAAAAAAAAAAAATCTAAGTAGCTAAGATATGCCTGCTTGTGGTTTTCTTTCTGGAAGATCAAGATCAGTGACTTTCAGGCTGCAACTTGATATTTTCTAGTTAAATGGCTTTTTAACAGAGGAAACAAAATATATACAGCTAATTAAACTTTTTTACTTTCTACTGATGTTATTCTTAACAACATATACTTAGAAAAAAATATGTATGCATACCAATACAGAGAGGAGAAGGATAATTCCAACGGCGAACTGTTCCAGGCATACAAGAAATATGAGAACGTCCCTTAGAAAATTCAAAAATAAAATAATTATGTATCATTGTCCCATTTTTGAAGCTTTCATTTAGCAACTTAACACAATGCTTCTAACAAGAAAACACCATTGTTTCTAGAAAAATCCTTTTGCCAATTAATTTTCCCCTACACTTTATTACCCATGACAGTTTTCTAATTAAGGACAAATAAAAGAGTTTTGCAATAATTAGAATTCCTTTTAAAAAAGGAAGTGAGTTGTGCCGCAAGTCTTAAGAAATTGTTCCAGAACCACTGTCCTAAGCTCAATTATCATATAGGACTGCAGAACAACATGACACTCCCATTTACATTCTCCGCTGCATTACCAAAGGGAAGGATTGTTTTTCCCAAACAAAAAATGATTATTGCAAGGAAGTGAATTTTAGAAGGCAATCTCCTTTGTCAACAGTAATTTCAGAATGGAAATGTGCCTTCCTATCAAAACTACTAGGCATACAATCTGGAACAATTTAATAAGTCTTCCCCCAAAGAATTACCAGAATCTTTGATGAGAGTGCTACTGAAGTTCAACACAAAAAAAGTGAGTAACTGGAGAAGTCACATGTGCCATGTAGCACCACCACCACCCCTTTGCACCTTGGGAGAAAAGCTTGGTATATATAACCATGCATATGGGCACCCATGCAGGAAAGAAGTTACAATATGTATACTGGTAGGCTTTGGGGTGATCTGCAGTAGATTACTAAAGATGTTTGATCATATTTAACATGACCAATAAAACTCTCTTTTCAACTAAGTTATGTGAGGGAATACTGTGAACTCAATTCTACATTGAATAACAATTATTTGAATACTGAAGAGATAACTTTGTTCCTTATTATTAAACATTTGTATCCAAGTCCCTATTTTGTTTTCAAATGAAGTGTTACTTAATATAGAAACACTATCGACCTGTAGGTTGAACTTATGCTTCCATATAAAACTCCTGAATAGGATGGAATATCAAATCAAATCAAACTTTTACTATAGCCTTTGGGCAAGAAAGCACAACAGTAAAATACATAGACCTGCAATTATTAATAACACTTTAAAAATGCAATAAAATGATGTAAAATACATTATTATAGCAACTGTAGCACAAATAGCAGTGCCAATTCCCAAAAATTGTGCTAAACTTCAACCATAGGTAGGACAGATACAACAAATGATAGCACAAAATCAGGCAACCTGGAAAGATACATCAGGGCCCTGGTCAGATAAAAGCAGTGACAGATAGACATTGTGTTCTATACCAGGATCATTCTTTAAAATGAGATACATATATACCTTCCTTGATTCCCTATAGAGAGGGAGCAACAAAGGAACATACGGCTTAGGGATTCTACAGAGCCACCTCCACATGGACCTAAGTCCTGATGAAAAGGGATGTTTTCATACTACCCCCACAGAACTGCAGAGGCTAGTGCATCCAACCTGGCCAAGGTGAAACTCCGAAATTTTAGTATTAGAATTGAAGAGAGATAAGATGATGGCCCATGCCCATTTGAGAAGAATCCATAAACTGTAGGGTTGGACACTAGGCATAAACGAGGCTTAGGATAGAATATATTAACAATTCTCTTTCTCATATGCTGTTCTACTCTGTAAACAGAATAGAATCAAAGCAGCTGTAATCTATACCCAAGTTGTTTACAATATAGGTAAACATGAGTATTCACAATCTGTTATGTGTGTAAATATCCATTCTCTTTCTCTGTGGATGCATTCTTATGATATACTGCAAAACAGCTGGAGGAACAGCCAGTGAAAACATAAGATATCCATCTTCTCAATAAATGAAAAAAATATTTCTCTATTTTCAGTTCTGTAAATCCAAAGATTACTTGTTTATATTTTGTGGCTTGCCTCAAACTCCCCCAAATCGTATTTTTTCTGAATAGACCAAAATTGTATCTATATCAACATCTACATCTACATCTAACTTAAGTGTAAAATTAAGAAAAATTAACAGATAAATGTTGGTTATTTTTGGTATTAAGAGTCACTGTTTCCTACTATCACCCTGTTCTGCAGGTGTGTCTTTCGAAAATAAAAACCCCTATATTTATCTTTACAGCTTTTTCAGACCTGGCACTTCCTCTCAGCTGAGCTGTATTATTTTTCACCTAAGGAATGGGTTAGTTGTTTTTATTCATACAGTACCAACTGCCAAAATCTGGTTTATTTATTTTACTCATTACAATGAATGCAAATTGGTTGCAAATTCCTCAGCATATGCTGATATACTTATTATATGTAATGACCAAAGAGAAAATGTTTATATTCTGTGATAGAGAAGTCAAGGTAACTGTGAAATATGCAGATGAACCTCAGAAGATGCAACTGAGCATGCATTCACATTTGTGGACCTTAAATTGTATTATTGCCAATAAATGTTTATCACTGTTGGAAGTGATTCATTAAGTTGGTTTAAACTCATTTTGGGCTACTGAGTTATAACTGCACTGTTATCATTTGCTTTGCAAGAGTATATTTTTGTGTTTGCATCTTTTTGAGCTGGATGTGACTGGCTACAGGGTTGCCCAGATGCATCTAGTTAAATCACTTGCTTTTAGATTATAAGAATATAAGTCAATGAAGGGTTCAACCTTGTGACCTTGCCGGCAGAAAGTTGAATTTTGCTCTGAGAATAAGAGATTGGAAAGATAGCAATAATGGTTGAATGTTCCAAATGCTTCAGTTTGCAGTCCTCACTGCATTCTACATCACTCTCCCATAATAGAGACTGCAAAAACAGTGTGATTAAATGATTATTTTTAATTTTTTTTAACAGTCAAATGAGGATATAAGTATTTGAGGAAGGCAAATCAGCTCTTCTTTATTTTTCAAGATGATAACTCATTAATGCAAACAAAATTATAGGATGCTCATACTGGTTTTGTGAATGAACATTTAGTGGACGAACAATAAAAAGCATTAAAATCTTAGTGCAATATGAATTAATAATCAAATACGAAGAACAGGAAAGAAACCTAGGAAGTTTAAATGAATGTGTATCTTTCAAATGCTCCTTGAAAAGAAATGAAACAGCGATATGCATATAGGTAAACAAGTATGAAAATAATTTTACTGCATAGTTCTACATCATGCATTATGCTGTAAAGCCAAACTGGGCCTTATTATCCAGGATATAAGAATTCATCTTCAGTTTCACATTTGGAGACAAATAATAGCCAAATGGTATGTATACATTTTGTGTGCAGAAAGGATCCAATTTAACCGCTGGCTTCACTTGGATTAAGGGATGCAAAGGCAAGGCACTACAGTCTAGTTGTCCTTTCCTGGTAAATCACAGCCATTTAGAGTAAGAGAATACTGTCACAGTTGAAGAAATAATCTTCACTGGTATGGTGTACCTTCAGATGATTTTTCATAGTATTTAATAAAAGGAGTGTAACTACACTGAAAATTGCTCACAACAATACAGAGGAATCTAACTAAATCCCACTAAAATTAATTCAGACTTGTCTCATTGATTTTAATTGGTTGAATCACCTGATAGAGAATTATTATTTCTTAATACTAGAAAATATGTCCCCTCCCCCTGCTATAATCATTCCTTTAAAGAAGTCATTTATACTCATGGAGTAAAAGAAGTATGTAATATTTTGAATGCATGTAGTTCTATTCAGCAGAGAAAAAAAAAGTATCGGAGAATAGAGAAGTATCTGTTACTAAATGGGTAACTTCTATATATCAAAGAAATCTGAATACAAATGCAAAATATAAGTTTTCATTGAAGAAAAATATCAACAGAGTATATTACAATACCGATTTCTACTAGGGCTATCAGATCTGATAGACCACTAGATAAAAGCAGAAAGAACTGCCAACTAATGGTCATTTAGATGTTTGCATCCCAGATCTGGTAGCCGAAATTTATATCCAGGGTTGTAAAACACAAGAAAGAAAGAAAGAAAGAAAGAAAGAAAGAAAGAAAGAAAGAAAGAAAGAAAGAAAGAAAGAAAGAGAGAGAGAGAGAGAGAGAGAGAGAGAGAGAGAG